TGCAAGCGTATGGTAGTAGAGACTGCGTATACGAGTATAACTTTAGGTCTTATAGAAGTATTCAGGTTCATTTCTCCTCGAATAACTCTTGTATATTATTAATTTGCTCGAATGTCGGAGTCTAATCATCATACTTAACTTTGAACCACGAGAGCGAATACTAGAGCGTTTCAGTAAACCCGGTCACTACACACAAGTCTAGGAATCGGTAGCACGAGTTATATGACGTATGGACTACACTAATGTCGCGCGAGAGTGACATCTATAAGTTCCATGTGTATTTCAGCAAATATTTCTGAGTATTCAATACACCGCTTGCTCCTCTGTATCGACGCTCAGCGCCAGCCTAACCAGGTTTAGGAGAACGGTAAACGTTACACTGCAGATCAGAAGCTTGGTTAGCAACGAATGGTTAACGTTCAACTAAATTAAATTATAATCATTCGCAACGAATTACACACCTAACACACACACACACACAGCACACACAACAATCACACTCGGTATGTATCGTCTGGTGCAGTGACCGCAAGTAAACTGCAAACTGAATTGCGGGAAGGATATGATTAGCGGTGACAACGACAAATTCCTCGACGACTGTTCGAGACGCGTTTACGGCGATGTAATATCCGTACAAATGCGATTACAACAACTAACATTAAGCGTAATAGCATCACCGCTGCGTGGCCAAACATCTCACGCCGCACAGATCGACGCCTGGGCGATGGAAATAGGGTCACGCAAACCGAAAACGCGCTGACCACTACCCACAGCACAGCTACTGGTCGGTGCGAGGCCCAGAGAGTTGTAAAGGGCAAAACCGCGATCACACCATCCCGAACGGACGCACCGAACGGGCACGAAGCGCATGGGACACTGCACGCAACCACGTAAACCGCGCACACGCACGGGCGCGCTACGCGCCACCTCACAAACACAGAGTAACAGGACACGCGGAATAAATGGAATTAAACGAATCACAGGGGAGGACGAATAGCACACATCACGACGCCAACACCATATCGCGCACGCGACCATCACAACACCTTACCTCTACACAGAGTCCCGTATAGCCGGCGACCATCGCTTCGCCTAGCCTCGCGCGAATTTTTCCAGATCCAACGGCAAGTTTTCAAATAATATCTCCAAAAACACTTCACGCATGAGACAGACGCAAGTGAATGCTCGGCAGACCTCCACGTCAGCCGGCATCACACACAACGCGTGTATGATGGAACAATGGCTGCTAGCACACGAAAACACACGCATCGCTGCCTCTTCCCCTGCAACCATCGATTTCATGACAGACTGAAGACGACAAAACTGGTTGCGATTAGCCAGAAGCGTGAGCATAAACTGTAACGTAACAACATCAGATGCTAGAAGTTCTCTGATCATCAGCTGATGGGCGACTCCGACTGTGCGAGCGCAAAATAAGAACAGACAGCAACCAACTATATTCCAAGAACAGTTGGTTGAGCGATGCCAAGAGTGTTACTGCGTTAACACCAGGACTACAAACATCATCCCTTCATGAATGGCCTGACCCGGCCGATGTATTGTATACGGCAAGAAATGTGTAGCCAAAAACAGTTGCTGTTCCACAAAAACGCTTGATCGCTACTCATATATATGTAATTATCCATATACAATTAAACTACGCTCGCGTAGCCCACGGTTGACAGTACGCATGGAAAGGTGTTTTATCGTATTTAGACCTCTACCTAAAACACACATCTAAACAGCCTAGATTGTGCAGTCTGGTTTAAACACAAAGCGTAAGCATTAACCTACATATCGCCTACCCCGGCCTTTGCAAGTCATCATTAAACTCTGCTGTGGGTCATTAGACAAATGCTTTGCCATAAACCCGGTAAGGTTTCCCCTGAAAACAACCGCAAGCCCCAAGCCAGATTCGTAATCTACACAATTCCTTACGCATAAAATGAACTGAACCGGGAACAGTAGCCGAATCGCAGTAATAATATACGCGCATATAATGATAAGTCGAAATATGAGGCCCTAATCATCAACCAACGCGTACGCCTTAGACTGACCCAAAGCTGTTCATGGCATGGCCGCGCAGGGTTTGCGGCCGAATGTCTTATGGGTGCAGTCCCAACGTGAAATCACCAATGCTTCGGAATGAACAGTGGGTGGTGGTGATAGTTGTCCGATCGTGTATGGCATATCGCGCGGAACACACCAACCCCAGCACACACGACACATCACACACACCAACACACCACAGCACCACACACACACACACACACACACACAACACACCACACCCGCCACACACACAACATACACATACACATACACAGCATACGGAGCGGCCAATATCGTGTTAATATTTGTCAAAATTCTCTCAACCCATTGTTCCGAATTACGGGCCAAAACTTATAAAAGCACGCGTGACGAAACGCGTTGCTTTTTTCTCTACACACAATCCTGCTCCTGGCTGATGATGCTGCCCTGGGTGCGCTGGCAAATAACTGTCGTAGAGTCCCTCGCCCCGCCCCTGTCCTGGGTGAGCGTCGTCACGAAACTGTTCTTGTGTTCCAGGAGACTACGAGGAGGGAGGAGGGAAGGACTATCTCGCCGGTGTGATAATAACGTAGATGTCGTGTGTGAACCATGATTGCAAGCTTTGACTCTGTGAATGTCGCATGTCACAACGGTTCACAGATTGGCCAGAAAACGTAACAAGCTATCTGCCGTCATATGCTGTCTGTAACTCAATCCTGTTCGTATACCGTTCAGCTATCTATCTTTTCATCTACCCCTGCTGTCTGTCCGCTGTCTGGTCTATCTATCCCCCTCCCTCATCCTTCGCCCTCTCTCTCTCTATCTGGTCCTGCCCTCCCCCCTCTCGCCCTCCTCTCTATCGGTCCCCCTCCCTCTCTCCGCCCTCCGTCTCTATTGTCCTCCGCCTCTCTCCTTCGCCTCTCTTCATGTTCTCCCTTCCCTCTCCGTCGCCTCTCTCTCCTATCTACCCCTTCTCTCGTCACGCTCACACACGCACCTTCATTTTCGTCGCCGTTCTCATGATGCCATCAATTTAGATTGTTAACATGCATTGTGTATGGCACACTACAGTAACCAACCTACCCGAGGGCTTAGCATCTAAACCGCGCTTAACCATGTTATAGCTAGCCTTACGTCTGTGGTGAGAATTACAGACTCGAATATACCCATCCATCATGCACACCGCGCACAAACACCCACCCACACACACACACACACACACACACACACACACACACACCACACTACACACACACACACACACAACACGTGCTAGCCGGGCTTGCCGCGCAGCGGGCACGCGCCGCGCAGCGCGCCCGGCACACTACCACAACACATACACCACCACTCCAAATTTACAATTAGTCAATGTAATAAAGCTATGGAAATTCTACAAATGATCGTGGCAAGTACCGCCATGAACGCACCACGCCCCCACTGGACGCGCGATGGTTGGTGTGCCGACTTCAAAGAGTTGCACACGAAGAATCTGAAGCGGAGTCTCGACAGTAGATCAGGATAGAACTACTGATCCTTAATTGTAGCGTCCTTATAGGCTGTTCCCGTTAGATTACGTCTTTAGATATCGACCTCTTGTTACACGCCAGCGAACACACCACACACACACGACAACACCCACACACACACATACACACACACACACACAAACGCACACTCACACACACACACACACACACACACACACACAACAACACACACACACACACACCCACACACACGCGCGCGCG